GCTTGCTTTCTCTCTTCAAACTGTGTTTTTTGCCTTTTAGTATGCCTTGTAACTTTTTTCTTTCTTTTTTATTGATGTACAGTTGATGTACAATATTATATGTCACAGGTGTACAATATAGTGATATATAATTTTTTGGGGTCAATCCCAAGCTCCCTAACTATCCTTTCCCCCTACCCTTCCCCCCAGGTAACCATAAGTTTGTTCTCTGAGTCTGTTTCTGTTTTGTAAATAAGTTCATTTGTATCATTTTTTTAAAATTCCGCATATGTGATATCATATGATATTTCTCTTTCTCTGACTTACTTCACTCAGTATGACAATCTCTAGGTCCATGCCTTGTAATTTTTTGTTGAAAGTTGGATGTGATATATTGGGTAAAAGGAACTCCAGTAAGTAGTCGTTCAGTGATGTGTTGGTCAGGCGTGAGGGGAGGGGAGAGGAAGTGTTCTATAGTCCTCTGACTACGCATCAGTTTTTAGTGAGCCTGTGCCTCAGGACTGTGAACTTCACAAGTACCTCCACCCTCACTACCTTAAGTGGGACCGGATGGCCAGAGGGGACTAGAGTTGGGCATCTCCCTTCTGCTGGGTTAGTTAGGCTCTGATAAGACCCCAATAATTTAGGATCCGATAAAAGTCTCTCTTGAGGGCAGGCTCTGTTAAGAAGATAAGGATGCTCTGGTTATTTCAGAATGGTTACTTTTCCCCTCCCCTTGCAGGAAGCACCAGGGGATTTTTTAACTGTTTTTTTTTTTTTTTTTTTTTTGGGGTAGGCGGGCCTCTCACTGTTGTGGTCTCTCCCGTTGCGGAGCACAGGCTCCGGACGCGCAGGCTCAGCGGCCATGGCTCACGGGCCCAGCCGCTCTGCGGCATGTGGGATCTTCCCGGGCCGGCTCACAAACCCGTGTTCTCTGCATCGGCAGGCGGACTCCCAACCACTGCGCCACCAGGGAAGGCCCCGCACCAGGGGATTTTTTTTTTCCCTATCTTCACTGTGAGAACCTGGTAGAGCTCCTGGAGGTAAAACTCACAAAATTCCCCTCTCCCCTCGCACCCACCCCCACCGTGACTGGGTCCTCCTGGAGTTTTTCTCTCTCAGATTTGTCCACACTGAGCCTCCAGCAGTTTGTCAATTACAGGTCAGGTTTTCTTACCTCAGCACTGCTTTCTATGGAGGTTTCTGCTCCAATAGGGTGTAATCCTCTATGTCTGTCTGTCTGTCTCTCCAGCTTTAGGGGTGTTACCTTGCGACCTCACTTCTGACAGATCTTAGTTGAATTGTTGATTTTTTTCAGTTTGTTCAGCTTTTTATTTGTTGTTAGGATAGAGGGGTGTCTTTTCTTTAAAAAAAATTTATTGAAGTATAGTTGATTTATAATGCTGTGTTAATTTCTGCTGTACAGCAAAGCGATTCAATTATATGTACATATATATATTCTTTTTCATATATTCTTTTCCAAACTCCCAATCCATCCCTTCCCCACCCTGCCCCCCAGCCACAAGTCTGTTCTCTACGTCTGTCCTATATGATTTGTCTTTCTCTTCCTGACTTACTTCACTTACTGTGATAATCTCCAGGTCCATCCATGTTGCTGCAAATGGCATTGTTGCAAGAGGGATGACTTTTAATTTCCATACATGTTAACTGTAAGCCAGGGGTTTTGTAACGTCATTATTGCAATCAGCGTATCACCATGTTTCCTGGCCCATTTTCTGCTCAGTCTTATTGAGAAATTGCTACGTGCCAGGCACTGTTTCAAGTGCTCTACTTGTATTATCAACAACGCTGTGTGAGTAGTACTGACTTAGTTTGGGTTCTATAAAAGCAGAGCCTACAGAAGCAATTTGTGTGCATGAGATTTATTAAGAGCATGTTCTAAGGAAAACTGGTAAGGGAGAGAGGGAAGCAGAATAAGAGAAGAGAAAGTACTACACAAGAATGGGATTTCAGGTGAAGTGTGGTCTCAGACTGATGCCTGGGGGCTCTGGAGTGTAAACGGTACCTTGTCTCATTGTTAGGAAGGGAGCAGAGCTTCTGTACCCTCACCTCAGCCAGTCATTAGTTACAAGCCATGATGAGAGCCCTCCTACTTTTTCCATTTTATAGATGAGAAAATTGAGGCCCAGAGAAGTTGAATAATTTGTTCAAGTTCACATGACCAGGAAGTGGTGGGATTGTATTAGGACCCCAGGCATTCTGGCTCTGTGGATATATTTTTATTTTGCACTTTATAAGGAATACTCAACTAATCTCATTTGACTTTCCAAAAGCTCTCTGAGGTAGTTGGAGAGCCAATGATTATTCTAAATTTTCAGATGAGGAAATCGAAAGTCAGATCTAGGTTTTTTAAAAAGCTCTAGGTCCTGGTCTTGTTCTGTCTCCCTGTAATGTCTTGCTCTCTTAAATCAACCAGAGTTTGTTTCACTGACCGTATGATTAAAACAGTAATCACCTGATTTAGGAACATATAACTTGATGGGTATAGAGTATCTATAAGCTATTCATACGATTGAAATGGAAAACCTCATCTCACCAATAGGGGAGGGGCCCTAGCTTCTGAGATGTTATTTTAAATCACAGGCTGGCTGGCTCTCAGACGAGTGGATTTACTGCTTTGTAATTGCAAAGTAATAACGAGAACAGCATCCTGCTGCTGAATTCTTTTTTTTTTTAAGTATTTATTTATTTATTTATGGCTGCGCCGAGTCTAAGTTGTGGCACGCAGGCTCCAGAGTGCATCGGCTCTCAAAGCAGCACCTGGGCTTAGTTGTCCTGCAGCATGTGGCATCTTAGTTCCCCGACCAGGGATTGAACCCATGTTCCCTGCTTCGGAAGGTGGATTCTTAACCACTGAACCACCAGGGAGGTCCCGGTGCTGCTGAATTCTTGATTGCAGAAGAGTTAAAAATTGTGTAAAAAGAGCTTATACACGGAGGCAACTCAGGATGTTATTGGAGAGAATCATACAGTTATTTATTATCTTCATAATATTTTTGAAGAAAAGGAATTACAAGTTAATAAAGAGGTTATAAGTTTCAGCAGAAAAGGAGAAAGGAGAAACTTGAGGAAAAGCTATTCCATCTGGGGAAAAATAACTTGAAATGGAGCTTTTAAAGTCAGCTTTTAGGAATATTTAGTTTCCGCCAAATCTCAGGAATATAAGAATGCAAACAGGACAGAGTTAACACTGAAACAGCACAAATGACAAATGTGTGGTCTACATTTGCTGCTTCTGTTTCTTATTCCTCAATTCCTTTTGAATCCTCCATAGTCTGATTTCCACCTAGTTATTTGTGGATGCTCCCAGATTCATTCTCTACTCTTTCCCTGCTCTGTCTGTATCAAACCTACCTTTCTGAGTAGATCTGGTCCATGAAAGGAACTGGCAGGAGGCTAAGGTGGTTTCTCGGGCAGTGGTTCAGTCTCTGTCATTTCCGGCTCGGTGGACTGTGCCCTTTTCCTATAGTCCCAGCTCGGGAAGGCAGCCTCCGCCACTGTTCTCCTTCCCACCAGAAGTCCAGGTTTCTGGCATCACCATCTCCTTCTTTTGTTCCGTCAGGCCCAGGGGTGGCAAAAACTTCGTGGCTCTGCTAGTCTCTGTGTTGCCTCATTGCCCATTTAGCTTCTCAGCTCTTCCATCACTTGGTTAACCAGTTACTTGTACTGAATTTCCTCTACTTGAATTGCCTCTCCTCACTTTTTAATTATTTGTGCCTCTTACATCTTGACCTCTGCACTTTTCTTTCCACACTGCTTTAACTAAGTGAACTCATCTACTCTCATATCTTCAACCATTATCTTCACCTCACCGGTACCATTTTTCTACCTGCCTAGAGGATGTCCCCACCTCGCAATGCTGCAAAACCTTTGAGATCGAGATGCCCCAAGTTACTTGGCGGACAGAGGTGATGGTGGGAAGCTTATTGGCTCAGAGATATTCGGAGATTGAACATCAGTGGTAGGGAATAGCAATAAGTATAAAGAATATCGTGGGATAGTGACATGAAATTTAGATGATTTTTCTGCTTTCCACCTGCATGGCTCTAGTCCAGAATCTCAAGCTGCATTGCCTACAGAGTTCCAGGCAGGTAACAATTGAGTGAAGTGGGCAGGATGAAAGAAAAATGGTCTCTTGATTTATGTTTTTTTTGATGCAGAAACACTTTGTGTGCATATTAAGACACTGTAGGAACCCTCTTCCCTTCCATAAGGAAAGTGTTCTCTCCCATTTTTCAGGAAAAATTCTGCCCTCTTGGTGTATCTTTTGTTTTCCTACTTTGGTATAGACTTACAGGTTTTCCCCCCTATCCAAAAGTAGAGAGTTCCTATGAAACCTTTTGTAAGCTGAAAGACGTAAAGAAGCAATTACCTTAGGACACATTTTGCTAACGGATGCACAAAATAAATGGAGAGAAAACACAGATTCTTACAGACACAGCTCAAAGCTATGGCGGCCTGATGCTGAGATCCTGAATGTAGTTCCTGGGGAGGGAGTTTGGTGGGGCCGTTCTTGCTGCTTGGGCTGCGCACTGACTCTGTAAAAGCTTGCTGCAAAACAAACGCTGAACACTATTTTTGCTTTTTGTCTTTTGTAAAAGCGAAAATCCTTTTCTGATTTCTTTCGGTTGGCGAAAACAGGTACTAACGTAGGTCTTTCATAAAGTGAATTGGTGAAAAGCGAACTTTTTAGAAGCAGGGGATACCTGTAAATCCAGAAAAGTGCTTTTCTACTATAAGTAAACACCCCTGTTTACCTTAAACTTACACAGTGCTCTGCGTCAGTTATATCTCAAGTTTAAATTTATTTATTTATTTTTGGCTGCGTTGGGTCTTCGTTTCTGCGCACGGGCTTTCTCTAGTTGCGGCGAGCGGGGGCTACTCTTCGTTGTGGTGCGCGGGCTGCTCATTGCGGTGGCTTCTCTTGTTGCTGAGCATGGGCTCTATGTCCCCTGCATTGGCAGGTGGATTTTTAACCACTGCACTACCAGGGAAGTCCTCTTAAGTTTAATTTTTATCTTTTTGTATGTCAGTTGTATCAATAAAACTGGAAGAAAAAAATATGCAAAGTTAAAACAAAGAAAGAAGACACCCCTGCAAGCCTAATGCTGATTGACACCTCCAGGCTGAAAACTTGCCTTTGACCTCAGTGTTAGGCATGGAAGACAAGGTGGTGATGCCTGAGGAAATTTGGACAAGGCATGCCCTGTCTAAAGGGGCTGCAGTTAGCTCCACAGCTGAGTGTTGCCCTCTAGGAAATGGGTCTGGTGTTGCTGGATCTTCCAATTTTTAAAGAAAAGCCAGAAATTATATTTCTATGTGCTATCTCCTGATTTGAAAACACTTGGAAACACATGCTTTCTTTTTTTTGGTATGCAGGCCTCTCACTGTTGTGGCCTCTCCCATTGCGGAGCACAGGCTCTGGACGTGCAGGCTCATTGGCCATGGCTCATGGGTCCAGTCGCTCCGCGGCATGTGGGATCTTCCCGGACCGGGGCACGAACCTGTGTCCCCTGCATCGGCAGGCGGGCTCTCAACCAGTGCGCCACCAGGGAAGCCCCCATGTGCTTTCTTTGATTTGAAAACATATATACACATGTTTTATTGGCCAAACAAAACCTGTCTGCATGCTGAATTTCCTGTGGGTTTGGTTTGTGGCTTCCAGTCTAGTCTCAGTCTGCGTGCTAAGTCAGACCTATTTCTTTCTCTCTTTTTTATTTTGCGGTACGCTGGCCTCTCACTGTTGTGGCCTCTCCGGTTGTGGAGCACAGGCTCTGGATGCGCAGGCTCAGTGGCCATGGCTCACGGGCCCAGCCACTCCGCGGCATGTGGGATCTTCCCGGACCGGGGCACGAACCCCTTTTCCCTGCATCGGCAGGGGGACTCTTAACCACTGCGCCACCAGGGAAGCCCCAGACCTATTTCTTTAAACCAGTGTCTTTGAGGTAAAGACACATGCTGGGGTATTACCACAGCTGTTCCTAATCCTTGTTAAATCCGCTGGATGTTTTTTGTTTCTTCGCCAGATCCACTCTTCACGCCTCTCCTTCCTTATCTCTGTCCTGGGAGGCTGACTGGTGTGTCCTTCCTCGATGGCCTTTCTATTTGGCTTCTGGCTGCCTTTGGCCAGTGAGAGGCACAGGTGGGAAAGGGGGGGAAGGGAGGAGAGCGAGGTCTCAAAGTAGATTACACTCGCAGCGTTAAGAGAGATCACCCTTCTTGGGCCATGACTTTGGCCTATTACTGAGGAAATTATGAATTGCGTAATGTTTCAACCGGTTATCCAGAAAAGCTAGATCTACACCTCAGCAGCTATGGTCCTTGACCAGTCTTGCTATAGAGTTGCAGCCAAGACCTCCGACAAAAGTTGCAATTTTTCTCAGAGGTCTTGGTTGCAACTCTTGTCTGAAGCAGGATTTTGCTTCTTATTGATCTGTCTTCCCCAGATTGTCACTTCAGACACACTTCCTGCCTCTAGCTTTTTATATAACAATGCCAGTAACAGGCATATCTCTTGCAGTTAGCAGTTTTGGATGAATACAAGGTTGCTTTTACTTTTTTAAAGCAGTATTTGCGGGCTTCCCTGGTGGCGTAGTGGTTGAGGGTCCGCCTGCCGATGCAGGGGACACGGGCTGGTGCCCCGGTCCGGGAAGATCCCACATGCTGCGGAGCGGCTGGGCCCGTGAGCCATGGCCGCTGAGCCTGCGCGTCCGGAGCCTGCGCGTCCGGAGCCTGTGCTCCGCAACGGGAGAGGCCGCAACAGTGAGAGGCCCGCGTACCGCAAAAAAAAAAAAAAAAAAAAAAAAAGGCAGTATTTGCAGTTCATAGACACCCTTGACCTTTGCTTCTATTCCATTTCCCCAGGTAGGATAATCACAATTGCAACACTTTGGTAATGTCCCATACCGTTAAATATAAGACCCACCTTTTCACATTTCCTTTAATGTGGACATGAAATCCCACCTGCTTTCTCTCTTTGTGTAATCTCCAGTCACTTACTCCCCAACTCTTCTCCCAAGCTGTTAGCCCCTTCATGGTTTCATTTCTTTATCCTTCCTGATGAAATTCCTTGGTGTGTCTCATCCTTCAGTCTCTCTCTTGCTGGCATCCTTGCTTCCTTTGTCCCCATGTCCATCTACTACATCTTGCCTGCAAACCACCAGCTCATATCTTTTTCACTTCTGAGATGCTCCTTCTCCAGAACTTGGGTTTCTGAAAGATACTGGAGACGGTCACACTACGTGGGTACTGGTGTAGATGTAGGTTTATAGCATCCAATGTCAGTGGAGTGTACAATCCTTTAACATTTCCTCCAACCCTCTCCCACTCTTCCTAGGCACCCATCTCTACTCCAACTCCCTCATTTTCTGTGGACAGTCTTATTTAATATGTTCCAGGAAAAAGACAGATGATAATTGCTCCCATGTACACATTTTCTGCATGGGAACAGTCTTTATCTCCCGTCATCATGCTTTGTTGATGAGTCGCTCCTATCCAAGGCTCATCTGAGAGCTGAAGTGCTACCTCTCTGATCCCTTCCAAGACTTCAATCTGTCAAATTTACCTTCTATTTTCCATATTTGTGTCCTCTTCATCTTCATTGCTCTTCCCTGCAGAATAAAACCACTTTCAAATCTTTCCCATTAGAGAACTTTGACAACAAAAGAACATCTGCTGATGACCCAGCTCCACTTCTAGATATTCCCCTCCCCACCCCCATCTCTCTCCTTCCCTGCTCGGTCAAGTCTCATGAAGGGGCTGTCTACACTGCCTCACCTTCAATTACTCTTCAATCCTTAGTACTCTGCTTTCCGCCCCCATCTTGAAAAGGTTACCAATGATTTCCCAGTTGTTAAATCCAATAGACACATTTTGGTTGACATTTTATTTGACCTTTATGAGACATTTGACCTTTTGGACCACTCCATTCTTGAAATCCTTCCCTTAATTTTCTTGGCACTATTCTCCTGGTTAGTCTAGCTGTCTTCTTCTTACTCAGTCTCCTCCAGTTAGTCCTCAGTTTTGGTTTTCCCCAGGGGCCTCCTCTCAGCCTCCTGTGTTCTTATGCTATATCTTCTTTTTGGGCAGTCTCATCTATGCTCATGATTTCGCTTACCACTTATGTGCTGTTATTCCCAAACCCTCTGTGTCGAGACTAAACTACTCTCCTGAACTCTGGGCTTATACAGTCAGTGTATTTTTGTTATGTCGTCCCAAGGTACACAAACAACAATACTTCAAAACAGAACTGAGCTCATTCTCTCTCCTTCCAGCGACCCCCATCCCCACCTCACCTCCCTGTAATGCCCACCACTCGTTAATGTCAGTGAAGAGAACTATCAAAGCCCGCGTTCCCTGGGTAAGAAATCTGGGCATCATTCTCAATTCCTTCTTTTACTTTGCTTCTACACTCCCAATTAATCAGTCTATCTATTTTCTAAAAATGTCTGGTACTTATCACCTCCCGTCCAGATCCATTGCCTCTCGTCTCTAAGTTTAGGCCCCTCTGCTTTCTCCTTTAGAAAGAGATTTATGTGTGTGTGTGTATATATATATATATTTTTTTTTCTATTCTTTTTCTGATTCTTTTCCATTATAGATAGGTTATTACAAGATATTGAATATAGTTCCCTTGCTATACAGTAGGTCCTTTTTGTTTACCTGTTTTATATATAGTAGCGTGTACATGTTAATCCCAAACTCCTAATTTATCCCTCCCTCCCCAGGCCTCCACTATCCCGTTTGATAACCATAAATTTGTTTTCTATGTCTGTGAGTCTATTTCTGTTTTGTAACTAAGTTCATTCGTATCTAGAAGATTTCTGAAGCTCTGTGGCCTGCCTCGTGAGTGGCCGTCAGGCCTGCTCAAAGCTCCAGGATTCCCTGCTGGGCTGTCACGTACCTGCCAAAGCACAGCATTCAAGGCTCCCAAGAAACCAGCCGTGGAAGGCTTCCTTCTTGAGGAAAAATTCTTTGATTTATTCAGAGATCACAGAGGCTAACACAGCCGCAGAACAGAAGAAAATCTGGCTTCATTGCTGTTAAACCCGGTTCAAAGGCTCCAGCTCCTTGAGCTCCCTGCAGGCGATTTTACTGTTCCCCAAAGGTAGATCCATTTGGAGCCTGCATGGCTGTGCTAGTCCGGACTTGCAGATTTTGTTATTTTCCTCTATCTCATCAGTGAAGGAAACAGCTTGGAATGTAGGTTCAGGAATACAACTTCCTTACTGTTCCTCCCCCCACCCCCTTGGTATCTCAGATCTTTTCCTGCTATCCCCTCCTCCCCTCAGCTGCCAAAGTGATTTTATATTTAATCAGACTCTTTTCCTCCTATCTCCTATAGGCAGCACCTGGCCAAGAAGGTAAAAGAAAGGACATGCGGGCTGTTGGGTCTGGGGAAAGCGTCACGTGTAGTTCTTCCTGTTGAAACTTTAGGGCTAATACCAGCCCTCATTCAATTAGGTAAAGCTCTAAGCTCTCTTCAAGTTTCATCTCAAGCACCTGATTTCCCCAAGCAGACTGTGGGCCCCACATGCTCCCCTCACTTTGTGCAAGCTGCCCCGCCCTCCAGCAACCTCCATGGTGCCATTGTTCTGGGCCCGTCTTCCCATTGCAGTGTCAGCTCCATGAGAGCAGGGCTCTGCCTTTTCTTCTTGATGTTCCCAGGGCCAAGCACATCCTGGGCACTTTATTAACGTGTGTTGAATGAACAAATCAAACGTCACTACCCTCCCCCGCAATGGAAAAAATCAAATGAACAAAAAACTGACACCCTCTCTCATTTGGAGGTACCATCATACACCTGATCACGTAGATTAGAAATGTTCAAACTTCCCTTTTCTTCATTTCCCAAATCTAAAAATTAAAAAACAAAAAACCCCCCCATTTTTGTCGCTTCTTAACTGGGCTGGAATTCACTCTCTGTTGTCCTTTCCTTTAGTACCATGCTTATCCAGGTTCCTGTTTTCTCTGACCAGGAATTAAGATTTTTTTTTCCCTTAAACACCGCTATTTGAGTGAGTATGCCAGAATCTAATTGGCTGTAAGATTCTATTCCAGAGATGTTAACCTGGAGTTCATGGAGGCCCCAGAGGGTCCCGTGGATGTCTTTAAAGGTCTGCAACCCTCTGAAATATTATGCAAATTATGCAAATATTATGCAAATTATGGGTGTGGTTTTCTTTCCCTTGGAACAGGGATTTCTGCTTCCTTTCAAAGGGATCTGTGTTCCCCTCCCTGGTCCTCTCACCTTCAAATTTTCTTATCCTAACACAAGTGTACCTGGGCCCCTCCCGAAGCACCATTCGCATCGTGCCAGTCTCCAGCTTAGACTTGCCTGCCTCCTTTCAAGGCCCTCCTTGGTTTGGCCCCATCCTACTTTTCCAGCCTAATTTTACCCTCCTTTCTTGTCTTGAACCCTTTGCTCTAGGTGGCCTGCTTTCCCATAGTCCTAACTTTCCTCCTGCACGTGACCGTGATTCTAGGAGACTTGGTTTGGGATTCCAGGTCCTGGCTGGAATGAGGGGGACTCTCTCTGGGACGGAGCTCTGCAGGAGGTAGTGCAGAGGGTGGAGAAAGCTGGGTGCACATTGATAAGTGGACCCAGTGGATCCTTGTTGTCTGAGCCAGGAGAGGTGGCATTTTAGAGCAGGACAATCATGGAACTGTGTGCTCTGGAGGAGAACCCTCAGAGATGTAATGAGCTGGTTTAATCAGCCAAGAAAATGGAAAAAGAGCAGTGGTTGGCTGACGTTTTGGACCAATCTGCTCATGGAGGATGGCAGGAGGGCTCTGGGGTGGGGAGTGAGCAAGCAACAACTGAGGGCAGGTGGAGAGAGCACACAGGGCACTACTCCAGGCCAGCTTCAAGGAGACCAGCAGAAGGTAGCTGGTCAGTCAATCAACTGATATGAATTGAATGGCTACTTCATACCTGGCAGAGCTCTATCCATGGGTCTGCATTTCAGGAGCTGGAGTTTAGTCATGAGAAGGTGACTAAAGATATGGCGTTGGTGGTAGAGGAATTGGACATTGGATAGATTACGAAGGCCGGGATACAATGACAGGGGCCCGAGGCAGGAGTCTCACTCCTCACAGAATAAAGCAGGAGTGTAACTGGACTTCTTAACCTGAAACTATGAAAAGAATAGGACTAGCAGCCAGGCCAGATTCCCTCCTTAATCCCAAAGAATAAGTCTTTAGTGGTAGACTTTCAGGCGCTATGGAAGATAATAGATAACAGCTCACATTTATTGAGCACTTTCTACATGCTAGGTACTGTTCAAAGCATTTCATGTGTATTATTTCATTTAAGCCTCACGACAGCCTTGTGAAGTAGGATGTATTACATTATTATCCTTATTTAAAAATTTTTTAAAAATTTTGTATTGGAGTATAGTTGATTAACAATGTTGTGTTAGTTTCAGGTGCACAGCAAAGTGATTCAGTTACACATATACACATATCTATTCTTTTTCAGTTTTTTTTTCCCATTTAGGTCATTACAGAATATTGAGCAGAGTTCCCTGTGCTATACAGTAGGTCTTTGTTGTTTATCTATTTTAAATATAGCAGTGTGTACATGTCAATCCCAAATTCCCAGTCTGTCCCTCCCCCCAGTCCACCCTTCCCTGCTGGTAACCATAGTTTGTTCTCTTAAGTCTGTGAGTCTGTTTCTGTTTCGTAAATAAGTTCATTTGTATCATTTTTAAGATTCTGCATATAAGTGATATCATATGACATTTGTCTTTCTCTGTCTGACTTACTTCACTTAGTATATCATTCTTACTCTTTAAACAAGGAAACTGAGGAGTGGAATGGTTAAGGAATAATTTGTACAAGGTTACACACACTTAGTTCGTGATGAAGGTGGGATTGGAACCCGGGCTAGCTCTTTGCGAGTAGGAGACCTTACTTCAGGCCCTCAAATCCATCTCTTCGGCAGTTGCCAGCTCTGCCCATCTGACTCCTGGGTGTCCTGCAGGCTTCAGGGCACAGCGAATGCTCAGGGAGTGTTGCCATCTCACTGACTGCTACTTGTCTCTATGGGCCCACCCCCCCATTCCTTCCGTGGTCCCCCTACTTCCTACCCTATGAATGGCCCTGACATTAAGTATTGGAAAGGCAGAGACAGAATGGAGAAAGCTCTGAGAAAAGCAACAAAAATGATTCAGGAAAGAAAGGGATTGATGTATTTGGAAAGATAAAAAGAGATATATTTATCTGACCGGCTGGGTGACAGCTAAGAGAAGATGTGAACAAGAGGGCACATAATGGGCTAGATCTGTCTTTTTTTGGGTACTGTACAGCTCCAGCATCAATACCTCTCTCTCTGGTCTCATGCTGAAGTTCAACAAGGATTTATTGAGTGTAGGAGGCTTCGCTTTTAGATTCAGTGTGTTTCCAGAGGCTGCGTCTTAAGTGGCTCAGTTGTAAGGTAAAAACCCGAGGGCAGCTGTGTTAGTGCCTTCACCTGAGCTGATGGATTTTGGCAGCGTTGTTGGAAGTCATCAAATGAATGGGATAAGATAGAAAGATATGACTTTTATATCTCAAAGAGACCTGAAGGATCATCTAATCTTCATTTTCTAGGTATGAGGACTGAAGCTCCAAGCAGTTATGTGATTTGTCCAGAGTCATGGCAAAATTGTTGACTGGGGAGGCAGGGAGGCATCCTGATTAGAGGGAAGAGCATGGGGCTTCCCTGGTGGCGCAGTGGTCAAGAATCCGCCTGCCAATGCAGGGGACACGGGTCTGAGCCCTGGTCCGGGAAGAGCCCACGTGCCGCGGAGCAACTAAGCTCGTGCGCCACAACTACTGAAGCCCACGTGCCACAACTACTGAGCCCGTGCACCTAGAACCCATGCTCCGCAATGGGAGAGGCCACTGCAATAAAAAGTCCACGCGCCGCAACAAAGAGTAGCCCCTGCTCGCTGCAACTAGAGAAAGTGCGTGCAGCAACGAAGACCCAATGCAGCCAAAAATAAATAAATAAATTTATTAAAAAAAAATTATAGGGGTTGGCAAAATCCATGCTAAACCCAGCTGTACGCATCCAGTCATAGGCAGGTCTGGTCTGGAGTAGGCTTCCCGTGTTGGGAGGACGGTCTGGTACAACACTGGGAAGGAGCAGAAGAGAGTCCCTGTTGCACGTGGTAAAAGGGAGATGCTGAGCAGAGCATGTCTGGTTATTGTCCCCAGGTTTACCAATCGCATGTGTTACTCTACCTCCTTGGGTTGAGTGCATAGTTGGGCAGAGAGAGGTCACCAGTGTATCACTCATGGGGCTCTCTCCTATGGAAGGAAACTTTAGTTTTTTGGCTGCACTGGGTGGCATGTGGGATCTTAGTTCCCTGACCATGGATGGAACCCATGCCCCCTGCAAGTGCAGAGTCTTAACCACCAGACTGCCAGGGCAGTCCCTGGAAGGAAATTTTAAAAGGCGGAACAAGTGTTCTCTCCTCACAGGAGGAAAGACAATGATAATCCAATAATCAAATGTACAAAGGTAAAATTTTCATTGTGACATAAGTGGGCATTCCTGGTAACTTATTTATTGATGGACATTACAGTTGCTCCCTTATTTTGTTCTTACAAAAATGCAGCAGTGAACATCCTGGGACATCCGCCTGGTAATACATTTGCTAATTAACTAGTGACTCGTAAATTTCCAGGAGCAGGGCTGCTGGCTCAAAGGAAATGTGTATTTCAAATTTCCATAGCTGTTGCCCTATTGGTCTCTAAGAATGTTGCACTGATCTGCATTCTCAGCAGCGTAGGAAAGTAGTGGCAGGCTCAAATGATGGGCGCGCAGTCTGTTTTAAATGATCCAGAGGGAATATTCAATTTCTATAAAATCATATAAAGTGATAGGATGTAAATTTATAGAGTGTTTGTTGGGCATTTTACTTAATATGAACTTACTTAATCCTCATTCCTCTGAGGAGGGTGTTATTTCCATTTAACAAATGATGGTATGGGGCTTCCCTGGTGGCGCAGTGGTTGGGAGTCCGCCTGCCGATGCAGGTGACACGGGTTCGTGCCCCGCTTCAGGAGGATCCCACATACCGCGGAGCGGCTGGGC